ACCTGGCATAAACAGAGAACTAATTTGTCCATCGCTGTCCAAACCTTGTTGATATAATATTTAATTTATTGTAATGTTATCTGCTGCTGTTACTTAATTTAACCCATCAGTACAATTAAAGTTTAATTTCTCCTCCACTTATCTCTTCCTCATTCTGCCGTCACTCTTACACTTTTGCCTCCTCAACATTCATGCTAATGTCTGGGATCCCAAAAATATGTATTCACTGTGTGGGGACAATTTTGTTAAAAAGAATTATTTCTAAACACAGGAAATGGTACCCTATTTTGCCATAAGAGATTAACTTGGTGTTTAAGCTATTTACACATTCTCACCAGAGTTGTTAAAAAAAAATGAGCTTCATTCAGTTACCCTAAGATAACGGATGCATCTTCTCATTTTTATATATACACTCATTTCTGTAAAATGTATACTTTCCCCTCCTATTATTCAGCAGCCTCTTCTTCTGGTGAAAAAGCAAGGATCAGAATCAGAACCACAAAACATAGCTTTTATGTCACCCACAAATAAAGCACTATGGTGCATCATTTTCAACCCCTTTTTCTTGAGTCTGCCCTCAAGAATGCTGCACTATGGGAACATGAGACTGAAAATTACAGGTGTAAAACACATTTTTAGAACAAAGGCAGAGAGGACCAGCTAAGATCTAGCACACAAAGATAAAACATAGTGAAGGACCATATCAGGCAAGGCTGTGCTTTTTGTCTCTTTCACACTCTCACACACACCTGCACGCAGAAGCACATTGCAGCCTTGTTATATCCCCATTCACTGTTCAAGGCAATCATCCAGGGAGAGGCCACGCCTCGAAAAAAAATCCTCAAGTCAACCACAGAGCTATGCTTGGGACAGGCACTAGTCATAACAATTAGAAGCAGTCACAATGTCCTCATCCAACATATTTTCACTGCTTCAAAGCATTCAAAAACTGGTAAAAATCTGTTTTAAACATGTGTAAAAAAAAAAACAACAACAACAACAAAAAGCAGGTTGGTGCTTGGTCAGTATCTGTGGATTAAATGTAGTCGAAGGGCAGCTGCTAACTGTCCAGAAACATCATTTTGTCACCAGTTCAGCCGAGCTGGAGCCGACAAGACGTGGGAGGACGTGAGGGGGTCTGGAGGGGGAAGCTGCTTCTGTCTCTTCACTGTGTGCACATCCTGCAATGTGTCAAGGCATTCTGACTGTCACTGGGAGCTGAAGGAAAGATTCCATGAGCTGCACTTATTAGTTTATATATAGAGAGGAGGAGTTCCTTTTTAAACAGTGAGTTTGTTTTGTTTCATCCGTCAGTCTGTGGTTCATTCAGCTTGAGGGTAATTAACGTGTTTTAACGGCGCACATTTTTAATTGAGTTACTTTACCTCAGTGGTTTCTGTTTTTGTTCACCACATTTTTTTTTACCTGCAGCCTCCACTGTTGCCTCCATTACAAATTCAGCAGCAAACTAATGCTAATTATCCCTCAATCCTGACCAAAAGTAGAGCTGATGCTGTCTAAATCTCCTGTTTGCTGCTATTTGTCCAGCTCATGATCATAATCAGATTTGAGCAGAGTAATTAACGGATTGCTGAGACAATATTCACAGATTCAGCCCCAATTCATTTCCATTCAGACATTGTAAACCACAGAAACTGGTGCATTTTTATCTGAATAGGTTCATTTTGTTAAATTATTCTCATCGCTGTAGTCTCAAATGTTGTTAATCATAATTTAATCTTATAATGTAATCATTTGTACATGTAAAAAATAGGGAAAAAGAAAAGTAGTTAGACAGTTGACGCTTTTTTTTTACTTTTTTGCTGGATAAAAAAAAATCTAACAATTTAATTTACAGTTTGGTAAATCTACCATAATTTTCAAAAGATTACAGCAAAACTTTAATAAAAACCTTTTTTTTTTCATATTTTCACTACAGCATAGATTTTTGATATTAATCCACCCTGAGGATGTATTAAATATTTGTGATTGTCTAAAGCAAGCAAAAAAGTAGTACTTTGAGAAAAGGTTTCTATTTTAAATGCAAAATACAACGTTATCTTATTGAATTCAAAGTTTTAGTTCTAAGCCAGACTGTCAGATCACTGTCTAACATTCCCTACAAGTGATCAAAATGGAATCAGCGCAATAAGAACCAAAGGTGTAAAGGTACACAAGATTGTCAAATGAATTAATTTAGGTTTTTTTAAGCAATACATGTTTAGGAACGAGAGGGCCTTGAAGGAGAAACTCCTCACATTCACTTTAGAAACTGCTCCCATCAATAAAACTGTACAACAGAATCAACAGCAGAACCACCAGCCTGTTACACACATTTGTGCCTCAAACTTGTAAAAACAATAAACTCCTGTTAAGACCAAGTGTCTCATTTTATTGTTGTCCGTTTTGTATTTGTGTTTCTATTTATTCGGTGATTATCACTCTAATCTGTTGCAGGTCCTAGGAAAACATCAATAATTTTTTTTTTTTTTTTTGTTTTATAGTGTACACTCACATTAGAATAAATGTATTTGGTTTAAACTAATGTTATCTTCCCTAAAAATGACTGAACGGAAATAATTACTTTAAGAAAAAGGGTGAATTCATAGTCACCTTTATTGTCCAGTGTTTGGCATTAGTATTCATGTAAGAGTTCAGAGTTCCCTCACAAAAACATGGTTCCATGTCTGTAGTTTGCCAAGGTTCATTTGAACAGGCCGAGGTATTTACCAGAAAGCTTGTTTATAAATGTTTTGTGGGCAGATGAGACGGTGCATTCACAGGAGGGTCATTGTTCTATCAAAGAATAAACCATAAAGCCTTCGTGATGCTAAATGCTTATCTGATGCTTTGAAGCCGATATGTGTCAGACACACGAACTATAATTCCACTGATCGAGGATGGAGTCTGCTTCATCTTTTTAGCAAAGAAGACTAGAGTATGACCCTCAGTCTGGGTAATGAATATAATTGTATAAGGTTGGGCAATGCTCTTCTAGCAAAGGAGTTGGGAGGTCTTTAATCAGAGGATCTGAAGGTAGAGCCTGGATTCTCCCCATTAAAGAGAATCACTCCTAAGTTATGCAGGAACAAAGAAAGAAACAGTTTACGAGAGAAAAACCACAAACATACCAGACTGAATTGCTGCGAGTTAAAATTCCTTCAGTCTTGATGTGTTTAACATCAGACTGAGTGGCAAATGTTGATTCTGTCACTTTTGCCACTTATAACAGCAGTGGTTACATTATTTAAAGAGGTTCAGAGCTGCATGATGGAGCAGTGTTTTGCCTCGCAGCTAGAAGGTCACCTATTTGATTAGAATATAAACTACTTTCACCTGTGCATGCTTGTTACACAATCAGAACACATCCATGTTAGGTCACATAGCTCAGCAAAAATTGCCCTTAGGTGCATTTTTTTGTGCTGGTCCTGCGACAGATTGACAACCTGCAGCGTTTCAAATGTTGACAGCTGGAATCAGCTCCAATCCCATGGATAGATGAATAAATTCTTATTGAATTGCTTTTCTGTTTTATACTGAGCGAATGCATTGGAATAATATTGGATCGTTTTTATGTACCTGGAGAGAGGTGCTGTTTGAAACTCATGGTCATATTTCCTTGACCATAAATCTGATGATGCGATTGAACAGCTTTAGTCACTAATAAAATAAGCACAGGTCAGATTAACATTGTTGAACCTCAGAAGACATTTGTTTGCTGCTTCCCTCATTATGCAGTCTCATCAACACCTCTGCAACCTGGATGAAGATTATAACCTCCGTGAAGCTCACAGTACAATTAAACTAGGAAATGTGAGTGAACAATGTTGTTTTAGCTCCTGGCAGAAATATAGGCAACATTTTAAACAACTTGCATCACACAGCAAGTCTTTAATCAATAACATTTCATCATCTTTAACGGAAAATCTGCATAAAAAAATATGTTTTTCCCCAGCTGACATTCTGCTGTATGCCGTTTCTTATGGAAATACCTAGTAGTTACCTTGCATTCTGCTCCATTGTTATTCCTGACAGAGTAAATAAAGCTGCTCCTTATTCTGTAAAAAATGGTTTTGTATGTGTGACTGCTGAGACATAGCAGAAAATGTAAAATTATTCTCTTTGATTCAGACAGAAAAAACACCGACATCTTTTCCAATTTTCACTCATTTTTGATGCTTCTGGACAGCTTCCCCCCACCCCCCCTTTCTTTTTTTTCAAAGAAGACCAACATGAACAGAAACAACAGAGACCTGGGAATAAAATGGCATCACTCCCTTTTTATGACATATTTTTTTCTTATTGCTGCCTTCATTAAAGATTCCATTAATTTTTTATGTTCCGCATGTAATATGGAGCAGATTCATGTAACTTTGGCTAACCTAACATAAGAGCACATTGTATAGCAGCAAATTCCTCTGCTCTTTGCCAGCAGGCCAGCCATGACTCTGAGAAGTCAGCAGGGCCTTAAGTTCCTGTAACCCCCAAGGAGAAAAAAGAAGGAAAGAAAAGCCAAGCTGCTGGGAGGGGATGCCTTGAGGAATGGTTGGTATTCTGAAATGTTGTTTCTCTCCACAAGTTTATTTCTGTCTGTTTTACCATAATCTAGGAAAACATTCATCAGCCAATCAGAGAGCTCCATGCTTACAACATTGCCTCTCCTCCACAACAACATGCTGATAAATCAGGGGGCTAAACGGACAGTAGCTTACAAAGAAGAAAACACCCTGGAGAGTTTAAGGAGGGATTTTAATGTATGAATATGAGCAGTGAGATTAAGTGTGATTAATGTAATCCAGCCCCAGAGTAAACAGTGCAACATTCATTAAGCAATTCTTGTGAGATTAATGGAATCAGGATGAAGTTCATCCCTTTATCAACCCCACCCCCAACAAAGGCTTATTATTCACCCGATCACAGACATCTTTGTAGAGGTTACTAAATCAAGGAGAAAATCAAAGAAGCTGCCACACAACTGATCAAATGTGAGAATGGCTTACCTCCAACTTATCTGTCAGTCTGCACTCCCAGCTGTCCCTCCTCTTCACTTAGTAACTGACAAAACTTCTCAACTTGGTCCTTTTCAAACACTCCCTCCCTCTCTGCTCTCTCACTCAACATGTGTGCACATGTGACTGTCATTCACAGAAGCTAAGAAGAGGAATGAGGACATCTAGCGGCCAATAAAGCAACACCACTGATAAAGAATAATTACTTTGCTTAATCATTCAAACATCTTTTACCTGTTTAGTCCTTGCATGGTTACATGGGGACCCTTGCCAAACTCCAGCAGTTAATGAGCAAACAGTAAACACATAACAAAGAGCCATGCACAGCTGAGGGCAATTAAGAGTGTGCAATCAGCCTAATTGCATGTTTCTGGAATCTGTGGGGAGTACCCAGAGAGAACGCCTTGTAAAACCCAAACATAAAGGCTTTGGTTTGGATTTGAACCTTTGAGTTTTATGCAGCGAGGCAGCAGTGGTAGAAACTGCTCCATCATCCACCTCCCTGAAGACAATCCAGAATATTTTCACAAATGATTACAACACTGCAAAACACAAAATGTGATATAGGAAAGATATAGGAGCTTGTTTTAAATCAACAAATCTTTGATATTGATGAAAAAGTAAGTCCATCTGCTAGTCTAAAATTAGAGCAGGAAACAGGTTTTATATCACTAGATTAGCTGTTATAGTTCATTTAACTCATAGATGTAATAAAGACCCCTGTAATAAGTAAGTGTAGACTTACAAATGGCATCTTGATGTACTATTGTACAAAGTCAGCTCTAATTCATACCTATTTAAACAGACTGAGTACAAATTAAAATGAAAACAAAAAAATAAAAAGAAATGCATGAAAAAACAATGGGATGTACACAGCACATTCCATTCTAAAGATGTCCTCCTGCCCTTGCATAGAAATGTATTTTAAGTTTTTTTTATCTAGGTGAATACAGGATCTTTTGTCCTCCAACACATCATTTTTTTCTGCCAGAATGTGGAAATAGAGTTAAGCTTATTTCTCCCCCTTCATCTAGTGCACATCTTAGATTTCATTGTACCCTCACTGTATCATCGAAGCGGTCGTGTTTTTCTAACACACACTGCACAATTCAAAGCCATCTATTATATACAATCTAATCACAATTCAGATTTTAGAAGACTAAATCTTTTTTCCTGGTGCGCTACAAATGCTTTGTAAAATGTGTAATTTATTTACCCTTTAAGATGTTTTCTGAGCTAAAAATGATTTCACACAGCCGATGTGTCTCATCAAACTCAAGGTATGAGCAAGCTTTTTAAAATTAGTATAGTAAACAGCAAAATTGGACTAAAGAAACCTCTTTCTGTGAAGATTTTGCCTAACATTGTTATTGAATTCTGACGTAGCCTCAGACACTCATTTAGCAAACTGTTGTTGCATTTCAACCATTGCCAATTGTTGAAACCCATTACCTTCTATCCCTCACTATTCTCTATGCTTCAATGGTTACATACAGAACCCTATTTGCAGAACATTCCACTAGGATGTGAATGCACACAACACTGTTATTGCGCTTCTTTAGCCTGTGGGCTGACGAGCTAATGAATTGCTTTTCAACACAAGCACATTCGCTGAAAGGCAAGTAGGGTGATTTGGACTTCTGAAATAGTTTCTGAAATAGAATTTGTATTATTGCAAATAAAACTGACATTGAACAAGCTGTTACTGGAGGGGTCAACAATTTGAGAGAAACAATTATGTTAACATAGTAAATGACATAATCTAGCAATCTGGATGACCATTGGCATATTTACTGAACAGATTATGTTCCTCGAATGCAAATAATGTATCCAAAATGATGCATTTATGGAGCCAATATTCTAGAGTTCAGATAGGTTTGTCATATTATAATCTCATATTTCAGAGCTGGCATTTTATAGTGTCTGAGGTCTAAGAAGAAATTTGTTTATTTTATATGGTCTTTTAACTGCCTATGTTTAGAACAACAGACAGATGTAACCAAGTTTGATAGAACAAAGTAGAATAATCCCCTTCATCATGGAAGAAATCCTTTATAAACCAAATCTGGCAGAAGGATAAAGCAGAATTAACAAAGTTTTATAACTGATCATAACACTGCATAACAGTGCTATGTTTCTGCTGTTTTCAAAGATATAGCTCTCACTGTAATGATAATATATTTTTTTTTCATTTTTGTACTTTACAATGAGATCAGCTTGTAAAAGCTACAAAGCTATAAGTACCAAACTTAGAAGAGCATTTCATCTTAAGCTGGAAAAGGTTGCCCCTGATTGGATTGTTTCTTGCATCTGTTATTAAATTCCTCAAATTATTCTGTAAGAAGTAAAATAAAGGTTGGAAGGCGTTTTGTCAATATTGCTATAGAAAAGTGCAAATCTTCAGAATATGAATGCAACCAAAATGCACTGTATTTCATAAGAATATTTAGAAATTACACAAGTTCTCCCTTTTCTGTTTGTTTTGTCTCCAGGGAACATTAGCCTCCTCTAGGCATGTAGCAAAAGAATGTCTCATGACAACAACCTATACTGTTGTTTATGCTTCTAACATAGATGTAAAATCCCAAAGGAGACCTTGGCATAGTTCAATTAGTTGGCCTAATTTCTAACTCAACAGTAGTACGAGATATATGATAATTTACAAATTCACTTGCTGCTTGACTTTAGCAGATGTTGCTTAGTTGGATTTATTAACAAAATGTATTATTTAAGTGCAATTTGAATGTGGGAAATCATATTTTTGTGACAAGTTATTCAATCAGATTTAGTAAATTTGTTAGAGCACAAGCACATTTGCTGAAAGGCAAATGTGCCTTTCGGCAGGGATGACTGCAGGGTGGTAACACCCTGAGATTATGAGATAATAAACTACTAACAGTTTTTTGCATACATTGGATATCAAAGTTGTGAAAATTAAAGCAGGACGTAATTAAGATTTAATAGAAATAAGGTCACTCCGTTATAATATTCAACATCCAGTCCATTTTTTCTTCAGTTGAAGCGTTTCTACTTTGAAGCCCTACTTCCCTGTCCACATGTCAAAATGTCCTAAGGCTAAATCCTGAACCCTGCACTGCCCTCTAGTGTCCCTTACTAGTAAAATACTGCAAGAGCATCTGACAAATGCTTTTTTACTTTTACTTGAGTCATTTCTTGAATTCTTACTTTTCACTTTTACGTGAGTAAAAATATCTGGAAGTAGTGCAATTTTTACTTGAGTGCAATTTTTGGGTACAACTCTGATAAATAGAATGTAATGGCCATATTATCAGTCCAGGGGAAGACTGCTGACTTGTCCAAAAGATCGTCAGTTACATAGAATGAAAACGTGTACCCAATACCATCCATTCATTCAGTATGATTACCCGTTTGGCCGCAGGGTTGCGCGGTGAGAGAGGTGCGGTCGTTAGTGCGTTAATTAAAGTATATTTTATTAATTTGTTAATTAAATAAACTGAAGACATGTTTATATGGCTGTTTTGAAAATTGCATTATATTTAATAAAAATCATATAGTCATAACAAGCTGCACAAAAGCACTGAAAAATATTACTTTTATTTCTTGCTAAAAAAAATTACTTTGCTGATTTCCAAATGAATCTAAAATTCCAGAGTTGAATAATAAATTTTAATATGGTTTACTACGGAGCTAGATGCTAAATATGTAAATAATATAATCGAAAAATTATTCATTTCCAGTATTTCGATTCAACAAATGAAATTTAATATGCACACGGAATACTTGTCTCTTTAGTCACTTTCAGGACGGCTTATTTTCTGAAAAACCGAATTTTGGGTTTATAAACAAAATTAACAATTGTAAACGCTTTAGTTCAGATTTTGATTGTATTCTCACCCTTACGTATAAACCCAATTTAGTAATTTCTACTTGAATGTTTTTTTTAGCGTGGTGGGGAAATCATTATTAGGATCTATTTGAAATCCTTCACAAGTTTTCCCACTGTTCCTCGCTTCTTTCCAGTGGTTACTGGCTGCGCGCTCCCGATGACTTCTTCCTCTTGCGCGGCGCGCTCTCGCCTCCCTGACATTCCGAATAGCTCTCACGTGCTTTCTGTGTATAAAAGGGGTCCCAGTCTGCGCTCATCATGTCTAGCGGTTCACCAGACAAACGCAGAAAGATGGAGTCGGCCCTCAACCAGCTGAAGAAGCTCACCGTGGTGGTGGCTGACACGGGAGACTTTAACGGTAAACATTTTAGTCCACTGCGAGTTCCTGTTAGCTCATTAGCATGCTAACTGGTTTAGCAGGAAGAATCCAGGTTTTAATGTAACTGACCGCCAGGTCGATATCAGCAGTGGGTGTGTTTCTAATATATCTGGCTTTATCTGTGCTTAATCGTATAGAGTAATGTTAGTCTAAACCTAACAATTAAATATTTTTTACGAGTCTTTCCATTAATTTTGAGCACTTTGTAACTAAACACTGACAGCCTCATAATCCCATTATTTCTTATTAACGTTATCCCACCATCTCAGTTAGCACTAGCCGCTAACTACGCTAGCTGTTGTTGCGTATAAACATTTTGCATAAAAAGTAATGCTTTTCAACGTTAAAACTGAGTCTTTTATGTTGCTTTCAGTCGCTTACACAAACTATATGACATTAAACTTGACCCCAAACATTTAGCATTATGATGGTCAAACATGTAGCATTATGATGGTAGAAATATGCTGACAACGCCAAACTACTATGTACTTATCGACATGCAACAGGAGGTTGTATACATTTCTTCTTTTTCATCCTTTGTGCCGGTTATCTGTCATACCACAACGGGCAAGGTTGTTTTACTCAATAGGTCAGAATGAGGAACGGTTTGCTGTAATACTGTGTTGCAAACCACTCAGTTCCTTGTGCATAGCCTGCAGACTCAGGATGACATGACAGAACTGGTTTGTGGAGTCTAGAAAGCAGATTGCTACTGAAATCACTGAGCAGTAGTGAACTTCATACATGAACTCTTTTGCTGCTCACGATTTTTTAAATTCAGCTTTTTACTAATTTTAGTTGATTTCAATTGTAATAGTAATGTGGAACGTTAATTAGAAAGTGTGTGTGTGTGATGGCAACATTTCCAGTTAAGTTGTATGGTAATAGAAATTATCTGTAGGAGGT